TGCTCTACTATCATGAAATATATCAGGGGGTGCTTAATTAAGTTCCAGGTGTATATATACATTTTTTTTATCTTTAATCCACGACGCGTCCACTGCGCTGACGGCGTGCCCTAAACGCATGCATATAGGCAAATGAGAATGCATTTTATGGGGTTGGCTCACAACGCTCTGGCAACGCCCTGCAAGCGCCATGCCAACGCTGATGTACACGGCAGAAGCGCTGTGGGAGCGTAATGATCGCCGTGGCAGCTCCGTGCCGTCGCGGGTCGGTGGGGTAGCCTGGTGGTTAAAGCGTTCGCTCGTCACGCCGAAGACCCGAGTTCGATTCCCCACATGGGTACAATGTGTGAAGCCCATTTTTCTGGTGTCCCCCGCCGTGATATTGCTGGAATATTGCTTAAAAGCGGCGTAAAACCCAACTCACTCACTCCGTACCGTCGCCGTGGGAGTGCAGTAAAATAAATAACACTCCGTGTAAATGGCGTAGACGCGCCATAAGGACGCCAGTGACATCACTAAGCACTCCGTGAGGTCTCCGTGCAAGCGCCCCGATTACCGCTGCGTCCGTACGTACTGCGATCATGTGCGTCCTTGGTGCTCGCCCACAGAGCTCCTGTGGCGCTGTAGGAGACCTTACTGCGCTGCTACGGTGACCCTAAGGTGTTCCTACTGCGCACATGTCAGGAGCAGAGCAACGGCACCTACTTAGTGCATGCTCAAAGTGCGCGCCGTCGCATTGTGTTCTAGGCGATCCCCACCAAATGGAGATGCCACCACGTTGCTGGGCGCTGTAGGAGACCCTACTGAGCGCACCACGGCGTTCTGCTTTTCAGTGGACGCCGCGGGATCTGTGAGGTCGCAGGCCTGGTGTGACAGCTGTTTACGGGCAGGGGAACTTGCAAAAGGTTTCCGTTGATACAAGTATGGCACTATATCCTGAAGTCGTACACGGATATAGGCCAGATATCCCAAAGGGCCATACTGGCCAGTGGTTGACCTCTCCAGTCGTCATTAGAGACGTTACATCAGACCTGTATCAATGTAGGGTTGTGATGTAAACGGCTCGAATGTATCAGACCTTACGTGATCTGGTGATTAGTCGAGAAACCATACAATGGAGCTGTAAGCTAGTGGTTCGCCACATCAACCGGGGTGCTATATATGTAAATATATCACAATGGAGCTGTAACCTAGTGGTTCGCCACATCAACCGGGATGCTATCTATGTAAATATATCACAACTGTTCAGGTACAATCGAACATGCTCATTTTACCCAAATTTCAAACCAACTTTTGCTCAGTTGTTTGATCAAGGTTACAACATTCAAAGCCTCAGTAAAGCTTTCAAAAAGTGTTATGGTAGACATGTGGAGAACATTTCAAAATATGATGCATCAGTGACAAAAATAATGCCCGATGCAATTCCCTATTTTGACTTGTACCATACGTTCCTGCATTTCATTAGGTGAACAGTTGACTAGCCTTTGCATATATCTATGACGGGTGCCACCGGTGGGGCAGGATACGCTCACTGTTTCACGAGCGCCTGGTATCATCATTCTTTGATAATGATTCATAAATACTTACTCTGTCGTCTTATCTCGTGGTGTCAATCACTGGAAAGTCTGGCCCAGACTTTGTCGCTTACATTTGTATGGCCTGGGCCGTTGCCGAAGAACTAATAACGCAGTGGTTATCCATATACGATGTGTACATAGTAATCCGCCATTTACCTGTGTAACAATTCGATGATGAATCATTATTATGTTTGAGATGAAACCAGCTATTGCACTCAGTGTATTTTAGAGTGTACTCAGTGAAGTGCAACTCTATCTTATAAATAGTGAAAGTATACCATGAATTGGCTTAAAACATTGTATAGCATGACCTAGATATTTGGCATGACAAGCAAATACTTTACAACTCTCTACGTTCACTGCCACGCCAGTTTAGTTTAGTTCAATTTATGACCTTTTCAAGTATACACTTTTGAATAACAAAACAACCATAATTACATTTCTTTACATTCCCTCAAAGCAGTATCCTTCATTACATCCTGATGAATACTGCATCTCTCGATCACACTGAAACACAACCAGGCCATGGTGCGAGGGTTTGCTGAAAACTTCTGATGCTAACTTTGATGGTCTACTTTGATAGAGTTGATTGCTGATAATGTTCCTCATAATCCCGAAGGTCCAGTCAAGACTGACTGAGTTTTAGTTTTACGCCGCTTTTAGCAATATTCCAGCAATATCACGGCGGGGGACACCAGAAAGGTCCAGTCAAGAACGCTGGAATGCTTGGATTCCAGCGATATGGAGGGCTTCACCCTGGTGTGATCTAACAACTTACCATAGGCGGCAAAGACTGGCGTAGGCAAGGCAACCCCACTGCTGTGTGCCACTATCGGTAAACCAATGTACAGATGAATGAAGGTTTTGCTTCCGTTTCACCAGGGAGACTATATAACGAGGAGTGGTCATGTACAGATGAATCAAGGGGAGACTATATAACGAGGAGTGTTCTTCAGATGAATCAAGGTTTTGCTTCCGTTTCACCAGGGAGACTATATAACGAGGAGTGGTCATGTACAGATGAATCAAGGTTTTGCTTCCGTTTCACCAGGGAGACTATATAACGAGGAGTGGTCATGTACAGATGAATCAAGGTTTTGCTTCAGTTTCACCAGGGAGATTATATAACGGGAAGTGGTCACTCCTCGAAAAAAAACCTTAGCGTATGCCTCGGCTCGTCACGTGACCAGTGTAGCCAATATGGCGGCGGCGTAGTTTTTAAGATTGAGCCCGGTTTATTTTCAACAGCTGATTACATTCGCTGTGTGTTGTGACAACTGAAAACCTACATGTAGAAGATAAGTTACCTATTCTGTGACTTCATTTTAAGTCAAATAATTGTTATTAGGTGTCAGTATTAGTACAGTAGATTTGTAGTAAAGTTTCAAGGCTCACTGGCTTCAGTTCTCGGTACACAGCGAAGAAAGACTAAATTCTATCGCTAAAACCTTCTTTCACATATTCGTTTAATTATTAGAAGGGCATTATACATTTAGTTGAAAGGTGTTTGCAAGTAATAGTGCAAGTAAAAATTGTTAGGGTGTATTTGAGGTGTGTGAAAAATATGACATATCGCCGATCTGTTCTGATCCACCATCGATCCTTGTGATGCTTGAGTGTTATAGTTCTAAAACTTCTTTCTTTCTTGTTGATCTTAGTATTTGACAAAACTGGAAAGGTGTTTACAACGCTTTGTGATAGTTCTAAACTTTCTGTTTTTGAGGGATGTGTGACAGTGTCAGTTAACATTCTGTCAATGCCCATGCCATTCCACACATGCAATAAGATATCTGAATTAATTACTAATGTAAAAAAATGTCTCAAAGTAGATTTTTTTTTAAAAAAGGACAGCTGATGTTAACACATGTGTTCCAGCGATAGTTTTGCGTTCTTTAACATGTTTGGGGAGGGGTGGCCGTGGTGTATCATTTATTTATTTCATATGTATTTCTTTCTTTTGTTCTTTTTCTTTCTTTCATTTATTCACATAACACTCTTGCTATTCTTTCATTCATTCATTCATTCATTGTAAAACCCGAGGGGCGGCGGGGTAGCCTAGTGGTTAAAGCGTTGGCTCGTCACGCCGAAGACCCGGGTTCGATTCCCCACATGGGCACAATGTGTGAAGCCCATTTCTGGTGTCCCCCGGCGTGATATTGCTGGAATATTGCTAAAAGCGGCGTAAAACTAAACTCAGTCAGTCAGTGTAAAATCCCGACTGATACAATAAACTGGCTGAAGTACTGTTAAACGCAGCCGAAGTTGCGCTGGGAGCGAACCAAGTCACTGTGTGCGTTGGAGCATGACGAGGCACACGCTAATTAGTACAAATGGTTAAGAAAGCAAGCGAATGACCTATCCCTGTTGTAGATTATCCCTGGTTTCACAGACGGCAGAAAACCATGTTAATGACGTAGCGCGAGCGGTATGCCAGGGTGACAGTTCTTGGTCATATCGGTATGGGTAACGTTGTAGTATCAGGGTTGGCATCAAACATGACAGAAATTCGTATTTGGTTATTATGAGTGGTCATTTGACATTTGTCGTTGATTAATTCCTTGGAATAAATGCCAGAAAATTTTATCTGCAAGATGAAAATGCATACAATTTTATGCCCAGGTTGTCTTTTTCTTTTCTTTTTTGACGGAAGCTGGGGTCGCTCGAGTCCGAACATGTTCCCCAGTAGAGGATCTGTACGAGGGGCTGTGGTGTAGACTAATGGTGAGGTGAGGTGAAATTGGGTTTAACGTCGTGCTTGAGAATATTTCGCTCATATGACGACGTGCATGCGTGTGTATGTATATGTGCGGCTGCTTGTACTAGCCCAGACTGAAGCTGGTTTTATAGTGCTAGCCCACTGAGATACCATGCCGCAGTGAAGCATGAATACCACACTCAGACACAGTATACTGACTCCGAGCCGACCAGTCCTTGATGTACCCATTAATGACGAGCGCCAGGCAGGGACCAACAAGTACCATATTTTAGCGTCTTTTGGTATGACGCGGTCGGGAATCGAACCCGCGACCTTCTGCTCTCCCCGCGGATGCTCTAACCACTACACCACGAAGGCGGTCGTAGACTAATGGTTAAAACGTTCTTTGGTCATGCTGAAGACCAACGTTCGATTCCTCACATGAGTACAATGTGTGAAGCCCATGTCTGGTGTCCCGTGGTATTGCTGGAATATAGCTATAGCCCTGTAAAACCAAACAATCACTCACTCATTTGTCGGATAATCTCAAGTTGACGTTTTTTTCGCCTGAGACTCAGAACCAACCAACACCTCCCCAAGTAGTTCTTTCAACGAAATGGTGGGCAATACCTAGAACAACCATACACAAGTTAATCAACAGTTATGTGTGGTGCATGTTCTCCCGATGGACTAACCTGAATCTTTAAAAAAAACGACAAACAAATCTATATCTCTTAACATATATAGATATATATATATATTTTATTAAAAATATAATATTTAAAGAGATTTAAGAGATTCATATTCCTTGATAAAACAATGACATGCATCCACACCACAGGCAGCACTAAGATATTTATGTAAAGCATTGGCTTTAAAATAGCTATGGATTAGTTTACCCAATGGCCACCAAGCACTTCTTGATTGGTAGGTTAATGCTGCACCAAACAAAAAGGTAAGTACACCTAAAACCAATTTAATTTAAGACACTGTCTCCAACGACATGGCACATATTAATAAGCATATATATCATAAATGTTGGGTACACATGGTAACAAAACAAAAACAATACTTCTAATTGTTTGTAGTGTGGTAACAGATGAGTAATCAATACAAATGTTTGTCATCTTGTATGCAACTCTTCCAAACCTAGGAAACATCTGGTCATTTTCCATCTTGATCTGCAGCTTTCTCACACAACCTGACAGTGTTACCTTCAAATGCCCATCCACTGTGACCTCACCTCAGTCTCACTATGGGCAACCCTCCACTACCCTGTCACATGAAGCCTCTGTGACCTCACCTCAGTCTCACTATGGGCAACCCTCCACTGCCCTGTCACATGAAGCCTCTGTGACCTCACCTCAGTCTCACTATGGGCAACCCTCCACTACCCTGTCACATGAAGCCTCTGTGACCTCACCTCAGTCTCACTATGGGCAACCCTCCACTACCCTGTCACATGAAGCCACTATGGGCAACCCTCCACTACCCTGTCACATGAAGCCTCTGTGACCTCACCTCAGTCTCACTATGGGCAACCCTCCACTACCCTGTCACTAAGCCCTGTGACATCAGACTATGGGCAGCCCTCCACTACCCTGTCACATGAAGCCTCTGTGACCTCACCTCAGTCTCACTATGGGCAACCCTCCATTACCCTGTCACATGAAGCCTCTGTGACCTCACCTCAGTCTCACTATGGACAACCCTCCACTGCTACTGTCACATGAAGCCTCTGTGACCTCACCTCAGTCTCACTATGGGCAACCCTCCACTACCCTGTCACATGAAGCCTCTGTGACCTCACCTCAGTCTCACTACCGGCAACCCTCCACTACCCTGTCACATGAAGCCTCTGTGACCTCACCTCAGTCTCACTACCGGCAACCCTCCCCACTATCCTGTCAAAGGAAGGCTCTGTGACCTCCCTTCTGGCTCACTGACACAGATAGTATGCTGTTTCAGGAAACCTTGTTATCTTTCAATGCAAAAAGAATTTATAAATAAAAATAATCGTTAAATAGGGTTTGCAGAGTCCACCTCTATCAGCTGGTTCATGTCACAATGTACAGAGTGTTTGTTATGTTTCCATAGATTAGAAACAGCTGGAATAATCTCACAGTCAGACTGAAATCAACATCTTTAGTCCCAAATGATATCTAAATGATTCCAAATAGAAACCTTATGAGACCATATTTTTTTTAACTTGCTATCATATCCTGCTACTTCTTAATTACAGACCCACTTAATATTTGTCTTTTTTTATCAACCTATTTTCCTGCCTGAATATATATATCATCCTCCTCTGGAAATTAATGAATTTGAAATTGTGTAAAAAATTCTCCCAGTTGTTTGATATCAGACAGATATTCAAAAGGAGTCCATATATAGAGCCTTGTATCTTCTTTTAGAATCCCTCTGAGGCTTGTCTTGAAGATGAGGAAAACAATCAAAATAATAATCAAACAAGCCTCTTCACGTTATTGTTCCCAAGTACCAACAGGTGAAGACAATAGCTACATGTGTAGGAAAATTTTCTGAGAACAAGACTGAATTGTTGCACACATAGTCTAATAGCTATGGGTTTGTGTTTGTGTGTGTGTTTGTGTGCATGCGTGCATGTGTGTTATGGAGAGGCATGTAAAATGTGAATGACCAGCCCTAATATTTATGGACAAAGTAAGAGACCTTCCTTGCGTGTCATGTACAAAATCAATGACCCCTCCATCCCCTACCCATAATTTTTAAGCATAATTTTTTAATATGTGGATGTATAAAATTGATGACCCCCTACCTCCCCACAACAAAATGGGTGACCCCCCCCCAAAAAAAATGTAAAAAATAAATAATAATAATAACAATAAAATAAAAAAAATAATATTTTTTTAAATTAATTAATAAAAAATATAATAAAATATAAAAAATCATCATATAAATTATGAACGGTCCCTAAGAAAGTAATTTAAATCAGATCTTTTACACAGATACAAGAGCTCTCTGCAGTAGGATATGAGGACACCTCCACTGAAAGTCATGCTAGGTAAACTTAATAATAAGCCACCCAGCATCAAGGAATCTAAGTTGTCAGTACAATCTGAATTATCCGTTATCAGTAATCTTATCTAGCATCTATACCCAAAAGGGAGGACCATCAAAGGAATATGTGTGGTGTGTATGAGTTGTACAAATGGTAAAAAATGAAGCCATAGAAAGTTCACTCTAGGTTCACTTCTTGAGATGTCCTCAGATCTCGATGCACAAAAGTATCATATCAGAGTAAAAAGATATGATTTCCATGAGATTAACCATAGACATTCAAGTTCTTTTGTTCTCAAACAGACTCATTTGGTGAGGTGAGGTGAGGTGAAATTGGGTTTAACGTCGTGCTTGAGAATATTTCGCTCATATAACAACGTGCATGTGTGTGTATGTGTATGTGCGGCTGCTTGTACTAGCCCAGACTGAAGCTGCTTTTATAGTGCTAGCCCACTGAGATACCATGCCGCAGTGAAGCATGAATACCCCACTCAGACACATTATACTGACTCCGAGCCGACCAGTCCTTGATGTACCCATTAATGCCGAACGCCAGGCAGGGACCAACAAGTACCATATTTTAACGTCTTTTTGTATGACTCGGTTGGGGATCGAACCCTCGACCTTCTGCTCTCCGGGCGGACGCTCTAACCACTACACCACGGAGGCGGTCTCATTTGGACCTATATCTGTAAATCTAAAGTGTATTTCTAAAACTAAGTGGTTATCAATGCTTTGGTGAAGGGTCTAAGTAAATACAGCGTTGATAGACATCTGGGCATTCATAATTTAAAATAAACCCTCCTAATGGTGTTTCTGTTGCACATGGACGGATGACATAACATTGAGACCAACAAATACATGGACTTTGGGTTGCCAGAGTGCAAGTTTCACAAGTGATGCAGTGCACAGTAAGATACACACAACAGAAGGATCATGCAAACATAACATCTACACAGAGCAGTGTGTTCTACACAGTGACATAGGACATAGGAACTGTGAGTTTGTCTCACTTACAGCAGCAAGTAAAATAAAAATGTTAAAGTATTTCTCAAACTGATCCTTAGTGTTTCTCTGGACATACTTTTTCAATGCGAAAAGTAATAGAAATTAGTAAGATTTACCATAGATCTAACGTAGAGATTTAATAATCCACAGAAGATCTCAAATCCTACCAACTGTTTATAACCTTTCACATTGAGCATAGACAAATATTTGTGGCACATGAGACACTGCTAATTGATCATTTAAAGTAAGCTTATATCCCTATGTAGGTGCTGCAACAGTACAGTTCATGGAGCTTTATTGCAGGAAGTCGCATTTATCATTCAGATGGGGAAAAGGTAACAGGAAATTATATGATGACAGAGGCATTTATGTCCTATTTTCATCAATATCCCTGTAACTGTACCTTAACAATGACGTCTACTAGAAATATACTTGCACAATTAATATAATGCATTCAAGATATTCTAAATGCTTCAGGAAAACTTATAAATCTTGAAAGACCCAACCTTGAACAGTGCACTGCAGATTTTACTTGTTCAAGCAGAACTTCTGCAGCTATGAAAGGGACAAGTGCTGTTTTAGAGCACAAATTTAATAAAATCAAGACATTCACCTCTTACTGATTGTATTACTGCCTCTTTGTGAGCTAAGAAATATTCCTGTATGTAAAAATTGATGTTCATTTTGCTTCCTATTTCACCCTCAAAACATAAACACTCAAACAGACATTGATTTTCACAAAATCAAGACAAAAAGCTAAGTTACAAACTCAATACTTATTTTCTATCATCCAGATATTTCGTGGGGAAAGGACAAGTGCCAGTTTCACTGCATTATTAATGAGAGATACACATCTGTTAATGTGTGTACCAGAAAGTCAAACAGTCTATGAATATACAGTCAGGATGCTGCATATGAAATCAACTAATTGAAACAAAACACTGATATATCTAGTTCCAGAGTTAATGGAAACAAGTATCTACTACGTTTTGAGTATTTGGACAATTACAAAGCTAGATAAAAACACTCAAGCATAAACCTCCTTGTCATGATGGATTGCCTCTTGCAATATAAATATAAAATCTTACAGAGACAGTTTGTTACAATGGTCCATTTCCTAGTAGAGAATTCTCTGGGACTTGACCAATTTGTATCAATCCCAGATAACAAGTCTAAGAACTCTTAACACTAACTATGGTCATTTGATGATTTTCAATCATTTTGTCAAACTCTTGGATAAAACAAGAGAATTCTCAGACACTAACATCACATCATTTTTGTTCCTTTGATTAAATGACATCGTTTGTTCAAAACATGTTGGGACTTTAGTCCACAGATTACGTCATCTCAAAGTCAATGTCCTTCTTGTATGCCAGCAGCGTGTTCTTCATCAGCATGGCCACCGTGACTGGCCCCACCCCTCCAGGGACTGGGGTGATATAACCGGCCTTCTCCTTCACACCTGTAACAATGGAGGACATCTGTCACAACAACACTGGGCCCAGGCGTACATCAAATATACATGGCACCAAGTGTTATAAACAACAGGTGTGGAACATGGCTTGGAAGAACTAAACAAGCCAACAGTGTTAATACCCTTGAGATGACTTTGCTGAAACAATCAACACAGGCAATCACCAACTTGCCAGAGTCACACTTCTACTAAAGCATCCTACTGTCTTCTTGAATGATTAATTCTAAACAGATTTCTCCCAGTACTTATGGGTTATTACTAGCTGACTGCACTTTACAAGACTAGGAATTCAGCCTGAAGCTAACATTGCATACCACTGCATGGATATTTATTTTACTTACTGTATGGAAATGTACTGTGAGTGAAGGTGTTGTGAATTGTTAATAATGCATGACTGTACCCAAAAGGACCATCTGTGTTGCTCAGGGATTGGGATAGAGAACTTTGAAAATGGGCCATTTTCAGGATTATTAGCCATTTTCTGAATTTAAAATGGGCCAAAACCCTTGTATCAATGGTAAACTTCAAAATTTTAAGGGGCCATTTCCTATTCTCATGTGCAAAATGGCCCATGGCCCCCTCGTCAGTCAGCAATTTTCAGTCTGGACCAGACAAACCAGTAATCCTCATTATGAGCAGCCAAGGCAATGTCCAACTGCCCAATTCAATAAGTTATCTCTGACTGTCCAGTACATCAGCAGTGCATGGACCTCTTTATGATTTAATTCCCATTCACACAAGGTTGAAATGATTTGCCGGAATCATTGCATTTTGGGTTTCTGCAGAGATTTTGTGACCCTCAACATCCTCAAAGACACGAGACGTGATGTAACATATGTTATATTTGGGATTACACTTTCTTAATAAAGTACAGACTCTAGTGGTTTTATTGGGTCCCATGCAGGATTTGAACACACACCCTCAGTGTCAGGTACCTAATCACCAGCACACAAAGTCAGCCATCTAACCCGCTCAGCCACCACTACTTCCACTGAGACATGATGACATACAATAAATAAGCACCTAATTTCTTGCCCAGTCACCACTTTGATATGACTAGCTGTGGTGAAAGAGATCTACAAGGTTCCATGTTAAATGAGATTCCTCTCAATGATTCTCTAATACATAATGCACTGTCTCTTGTTCACTGTACAAGAGCTGGCTATGTAAACACATGTCACAGAGAAGCATTAATATCTTATAAAGCCTAGTCTCGCTAAAGAGATTAGCCTAACAGAACTTCAGAGCTAAAACATGTGACTCACTTAGTCACTAATGTGACCTATTTTGTTGTTATGGCAACTAACATTTACAACTGAGTCACTAAAATGATTCTGGAACAGGTAACAGTTTTCTATCCTTCTTTGCAGATCTTATAGATCAATATACATGGATAATGGGGGAAAATACAATTGTGATCATTACTCTTTTCTGTGTGGGTAGCAGACTGGCATAATTGCCAGGAGATTAATGGGCTTTTCCTCCCTTTTTTTATCCTATGAAACTCCTGGCTAACATATTACTAACCCACAAGGTGTTCTCCAGTGTCAAGACTAGGCACTTTTTGCAAGCATGCTCACTCCAGCTCAATCAAGTATAATTTGAGAGATAAGCCAATACATCAAATCTACTGAAAACACCATCTTTCTGCTGTCTCTTTCAAGGATGTTCTGAAAACAGACTCAACCTTCAAGTTGCTCTTGTTGCCATGGGAAGTGTAAGGTTGTTGACACTTTTGGTTTCAGAGAATAATACAACACAGTGGCAGAGCCCTGTAGCTCACCTGCACTGGTATTTGCTGTCAACAGTTTACAATGTACTGTGGTAAACAATGACAGCCACTTAACAAGGGGCCCTTGCCACAAAGTGAGGCAGATTAACGATTGTAAGTGCTAAGAAAAATGTCTGATGGCTTTCATTGAATGGTCTTGTATTTTGCTGACAAAAGAATTATGACCACTAAGTCATACTCCACAGTAATATTTCCTTGAAAGCCATCATTCCAAATGTCAAATTAACATAAACAGGCACCTGAAAATATACTCTTCAAAAAAAGAAACTTGACATGCTGTTTTAAAGTTTACTTACTGAATGCATATAACTGATTCAAACATGACATCATTGCTCGATTACAGTAAAATCATCACTTTAAAGATTTCCAAAACATGTTTATCCAGAAAGTGTTTGGTAAAACTATAGAGGGCTATTAAAGCCACTTGGTCAGTATCTGGAGTGACCACCAGGAGCATCGATAATAGCTTGGCAGCGGCGACCAACAGAAGAAAGGAGATGCTGAATGCTGTCTTGAAGAACGTTTTGATACTCTTGCTGAACTGCTGTGTGCAGTTCTTGTAGTGTCTAAGGTTGCGGAATACGCTGGCGCAAGCGTCGATCAAGAGTATCTCATAGATGTTCAATGGGGGACAAATCGGATGATCGAGGAGGCTGAGCTAACACCTGAACATTGTTTTGCCAAAGTCCTGTCAAAACACATGCAACGTGAGTTCGAGCATTGTCATGTTCCAAAGATCAACCGTTGATGTTGATGAAGGGAACGATATGACGTTGAACTGGTCTTCTGGCAAAAAGTCTGGCTTCCCATAGCCATTTGCGCACTGTCTGGTCGGAGATGCGGCGCAGTCCGGATATTGGGATTGTTGTGGATGATGCGGCCGTGGTGTTTGAATGAAGATGTCTCAACCGGATGTAGAGATCCTGGGCGGCGGTTTTAACTCTAGGTCGACCGGACCTGGGTCTGTCTTTAACACTCCCAGTATTGTTGTATCGGGTTCATCATAGGTTTGAGATGGTCTGTCTGGACACGCTGAAGTACCTTGCAACCTCATGCTGCGATGCCTGTCCTTGTAAACGGCTGATGGCGTTGTGTCGTTGAGCTTCTGTCAGTCTTTTTATTTTCTTGTTGTCTATAGTCGCTTAAACCAATTAGACTAGCACCGATTGTGGATAAAAGTAATGCAAGAGGCATTTTTAGTAGGATTTGGTGTCCGGGCTATTTTACCTATATAAAGGATGCTGATCACGAAAAAATAGGATACCAAGCTGAAAAAAGTGTTTTTGACCCTCAAAATTGAAAAACAAAATGGCTGCCAAATCGCCTAAAATAGTGGGAGCTGTGCACAGTATTTTCGCCTGTGACTGTATCTCTATTGTTTAAATTTTGGAAAATTGATCTTTTATGACATTTAAAGAATGCTGAGCATGAATAAATAGGATACCAAGCTGAAAAAAATGTTTTTGACCCTCAAAATTGAAAAACAAAATGGCCACCAAAATGGCCTAAAATAATGGTAGGTGTGTACAGTATTTTCGCCTCTGACTGTATCTCTATTGTTAAAATTTTGGAAACTTGATCTTTTATGACATTTAAAGAATGCTTATCATATAACATATGTTATATTTGGGATTACACTTTCTTAGTAAAGTACAGATTCTAGTACTTTTGTTGGGTTTAGTCCCATCCGGGATTCCAACCCACACCCTGAGAGTCAGGCACCTAATCGCCAGCACTCAAAGTCAGACGCCTAGACCGCTCAGCCACCGCAGCTTCCACCGCAGTATAGGCTTATGACTTTGTGTGCTGGCGATTAGGTGCCTGACTCTGAGGGTGTGGGTTCAAATCCCGGATGGAACTCAACCCAACAAAAGTACTAGAATCTGTACTTTACAAAGAAAGTGTAATCCCAAATATAAAATATGTTACATTTGACCGCTTTCTAAATGGCATGGTGTATTTCGATGCTTATCATGAATAAATAGGATTCCAAGCTGAAAAATGTTTTTTGGACCTGAAATTTGAAAAACATAATGGCCGCCATAGTGGCCGCAAGTAGCGGTAGGTGTGCACGGTATGTCATCACCTGTGACTATATCTATTTTCTAAATGTTGAAACCTGACCTTTTTAGACATTTAAAGGGTGTTGATCACGAAAAAATAGAATACCAACTAAAAAGAAATTGATTATGAACCTCTAAATTGAAAAACAAATGGCCGCAAACATAGTTTATTTTGTGCTGATCACATCATTGTTACGACATTGAGACTGTGAGGAAACAAATAGTATTCAAAGTTATACCAATACACACTACATAGTTTTCATGAACAGTTTTAATCATTTCGGATGAAAACAATACGGATAATCAATGAAACTTTAACAAACAATTCTCAACACAATATATCAGCTGAACCATACCAACGTCATAACACTAATGTTATTCACACTTGAGTCTCATATACATAAGTGGGGTTCGGTTCGATATATTGTGATATGAGTTGGATTATTTACAAGGGAACATGGAGCATGGCTTTGGTTTGGGAACATAGAGTTCTTGCCAGTGTGTAGGCTTTAATCAGATGAGATATGTAGGGAGGAGCCTGACCGGACAGAGACTGGAAGACAAGACAAAGGAGCTTGTAGGTGATTCAGTGTTCCACAGGGAACCAGTGAAGGTTGTGGAGTGATGTCCTCTGATTTCCTAGTCAGTGTAACAATCCTTGCTGCAGTATTTTGAACTCGTTGTAGTTTGTTAAGCTGCTATTAAGTTGCCCCAGAGAGAAAGGAATTTCATTAGTCCAGCTGTTACACAACTAGTGACGGGACCAATGTGGCAGTTCTTATTGTTCTTATTGTAAAAACATACCCTATCATTGTATTCTTCTCTTTCATCTCACTGCATTGTTTGTACATACTTAATTATATCTCCTTCGCCCCCTTGCGCTTGTATATACTTATTTACATATCTGGCTTCCTGTACATCAATAGATATATACTGTATTGTTCACTATGATCATTATCCACCTGACGAAGGGGCAAGAACTAGCCCAGAAACGTTGTGTAAAATAAATCAAGAAGTTGTTATCCATAAGATTTGTCTTGTATTACTACACCAACTTCTAAATGCCTTTGAAGAATTTCAACACTTCAACTGTTATAACTTATATATTGAAAAGGGGTGGTGGGGTAGCCTAATGGTTAAAGCTTTGGCTCGTCACGCCGAAGACCCAGGTTCGAATCCCCACATGGGCACAATGTGTGAAGCCCATTTCTGGTGTCCCCTGCTGTGATGTTGCTGGAATATTGCTAAAAGCGGCGTAAAACCAAACTCAGTCAGTCAGTATATATTGTAAATGTAGATGAAGTAGGGGGTAGTTGTGTCCTATATTCAGACCTGTATTAGAACTAGACAGAATGATCTGGAAAGTGCTCCAAGGAACTTATTTCAGAATCATCAGCTTTGTATTGAATTGTAGAAATTCATAGCTGAACCTGCAATTGTCTCTTATCACACATCTCAAGCCACAAGAAGACCAGCATTGTATTTGATGATTCATTGCGATACCACAGTGTGTAAACTGCATGGGTTTTCAGTGTCTCCCATGAAAACGTTCTCCAGTGATCACACATCTTCATGTCATCAGTAATAGCATATCAACAAATCAGCTGTTGTGCTCAACTGACAAACCATCATTGTCTTTCTTGCTATAATCACTGCTCTTGTATAATATTACCTTTGAACTAATTTGAACTTCCAAAGTAATACCATTGATTTGTGAACTTGGTTGTTAATTACAGCACAATTTATTTGCTTGGGAATCAACATATATAACATTATACAAAAAACAATCTTTTGAAAACATCTATTGACAACATGCCATCATTATACTGGAACTATTTCTTTTGATGGTAATAATGATGGCAGGAGCAAACAAGGATTGGACTGGATGTTGTTTAATGCCGCTTTTAGCAATCTTCCACAATATTCGAGCACCAGATATGGCTTCACTCAGTCTGTGTGGGGATCAAGTCTGGACCAGACAATCCAGTGATCAACAGCATGAGCATCAATTTACACAATTGGAATACTAGAAGTGAGTGAGTGAGTATGGTTTTACGCCACTTTTAGCAATATTCCAGCAATATCATGGCAGGGTAGACCAGAAATGGGCTTCACACATTTGGCCTATGTAGGGAATCGAACCTGGGTCTTTGGCGTAACAAGTGAATGCTTTAAGCACTAGGCTACCCCACAGCCCCTGGGATAATAGGAAAACGTTATGAAGCTTTAAAGTTTTTCAAAGTGACCTCATCACCCCCATACATAAACAGGTTCTGCTTGAGTTGTTGATGATCATATTGTTGTTTTGATGACTTTTACTACAAGTTTCACTTACCAACAGCTTACCATTTTCTGCCTGGAATGATCCTGGAGATGAAGCGTCAAAAATATTTTCCCAGATGTATATGTGAGGTAACAATACTGTGATATCCCACAGAAAACACCTCATGGTTTCAATAAAAAGGTCAGGAGAATTCAGGCAAAACCTTAAAGAATCCCCATTTACATAGCGGTTGCTTCATGAAGCTGGCAATAATGAAAACAGGACTCAAAATTTCTTGAATAAATTGGGCCATAATCATTTGAGGGAAGAGTGAGTGAGTGAGTATGGTTTTATGCCGCTTTTAGCAATATTCCAGCAATATCACGGCGGTTGACACCCAGAAATGGGCTTCACACATTGTACCCAAGTGGGGAATGGAACCGGGTGTAGCAGGCCATTTCTTCCCCAGTCTCAACTTTCCCCGGGGAGAATCTGGCCTAGGCCAAACTTTCCCCGGGGAGGTTTTGTCCTAGGATATTCTTACCCCGGGGAAAGTTTGGGCTAAGCTAAAGTTCCCCCCCCTACGCCAAACTTTTCCCCTGTTTAAACTTTTCCCCTGTTTAAACTAGGATATTTTGTTCTGTTTTCTGCCCTGAGAAGTGAGGGAGATTTTGGTCTAGCTAGGCAACTTCTTTCCTAGCTAGCCACTTTTTTTTATATCAAAGGGGAGATTTTGGCCTAAGCTAGGGCTACTTCTTCCCAAAATTGCTCTTATATCAAAGGGGAAGATTCTGGCCTAGCTTGGCCACTTCTTCCCAACCCCTGTTTTTATATCAAAAGGGAGAGATTCTGGCATAGTTAGGCTACTTCTTCCCCACCCTTGCTCTTGTAAACCGACAGTAGTTTCAAATTCTATTTTGGTGCACATTTTTGCCAAATGGTCCATTTTTGGCTCTGACTTGGGGGAATGCATACATGTTTGAACAGCACATATCTCTAAATCCATCCTGCTCCTGTTGCCATTCCTATGAAGACACATTGCATTAGTTCTTCATCTGTCCAAATCATGTCACCATAAGATGTAAACATTCAATCGCACATTTGATGCGTAAATAAGATGTAATATACACAGGTTGCTTGCTCTCTTATCATGCTGTTTATTATCTAATATTTGTTGTATTTATGTATAAATGTAATTGAACATTATTCACATAAGCTTTTTTACAAATCCATAATCACTTTCGGTGAATAAAATATGATTCAGATATCCATGGGCCAAGTAAACCCCTTATCAAACCTTGTCTTTTGAATATAGAATAAGGCAATATAGTGGAATGATAGATGATACAGCATTTGATACAGATATTGTGTTGTTGTTGTTGTGTTGAGGTTTATGTCTGCTTCCAACTGTTAAGTTGATGTCGCGAGATGGATGCCATATTTAAACCCATGAGTGAGGGAATAAAATTTTCAATGGATATAGACATCCAAGTGAATACTGGGTATTTAGTTAAAGTTTCGAATATAGTAATGATTTTGAAATAAGCCATTTTGGAGGAAGTGGGGATAAGTAAATTATTGAAATACAAAAATAAGTACATGATAATATAAAGCTTTTATACTTGCTTTTCTTTTTAATATCACCCATTTGAGGGAAGAAGCCTCAAACATGTTTTTATCTGGATCTATTAAACCACTTTGGTTGAAGGGGCATGACAGCAAACAAATTGCAACTTTGTAAGCTTACGTAGCCTTAGCTGAATTACTGGGAAGAGAAAGTAATATTTTTTTCAAGTAACATCCTTAAGATTTGAAAAGAAAGTGAACAATAGGACACACCTTAGGTTATGTTTACAAACAACCATGTCACATCAAATGAAAAATACATTTTAACTGTAGGTAATGGTTGCTATCAAACTTACCTTGGAAATCTACATCTCCAACCAGCTTGGTTTTACCAGTTTCTTCATCTTTGATCCTGTTGAATGCCCACATCGATGACTGTGGCCCCCGGTTTGATCATGTCGGCAGTGATGAGTTGAGGCACTCCAGCAGCAGCTATGACAAAGTCTGCAGTGGAAGTGAACACCTTCAGCTGGTCTGGGGGTGTGAAACGATGGCAGATTGTCGTTGTGGCATCACCTGGAACAATATAAGTTGTTCACTGGTCACGAGGGGGGCATGGGTTGATGTACCCTCGATGTTTGTTTATGTTCCCTGAGCCCAAAGGGCTAGGGGAATATAAACAAACATCGAGGGTACATCAACCCATGGGCCCCGAGGGACCAGTGAACAATGTATTTATCTTACTGAACACCTTAATGTTAATTTTGAATTGATTGAAGCACGGGTACAAATCTTTTTGTAGCCATCGCTAGATTTTGCTGACAAGAAAAACAGATTTAGAGTTATCTCCCTTCCATCGATTTGCATTTGCAAAATATCGGTAATTTCTGTACATCATAAGTGATTCAATGTAATTCGAGATAAAGAATTACTACCACGAAGTACCAAATGAGTTGCCATTGACAGCGGGGTACATTGAAATGTTACTCGCTTGTAAGCGGGATACATTGAAAATAATAGAAGAGCGCTCAGCCAATCAGAAATCGACATTTATGTGTGAGGTAAGATAACAAGCATTGTCTTTTCATTAAATCTTTTCACTAGTCTATCATTAGCAAGAGGTTTGTGAGTACCCTTTCCCAATATTATATTTCATGAAAACATATTAGTAATAAGTATTAAATTGAAAAAGAAGCACTCATCCATGTATCCTCGTATAATGGGTTTTCGGACATGTAAGCAACACTCATCTCCATGTCATCCCATGAACAACAGTAAAACAGGCCATCAGCAGAGTATTTACAATGCCTTAATGACGCACATCATTATAGAGCAAGTAAACACTGCTGCCATCCAAACACACATGATGTCCAAAAACATATAATCTGATGACATACAAATGTCCTTTGATCTATGATCTGACAGAACCATTGACGGTCCCGTGCACCAGTTCCAAACGATCAAACAAGGACAATACCGGTAACTCTGTAATGCTGAATTTGGAACTAGATCAACATGATTATTCTACGATAATGTACACAAATATCATCCTTGTATCTTATAATGGTTCCAAAACACATTGTTCCCAATCGGACAATTAGAGTCCAAATCAATATCTTCCACTCAACTCCATAACAGGGCCTACATAGACAAAGCAATTTTGTGTAGAGACTCTAAGGGGCCTGGAAATAATTTGCAGCATTGAACATCATAACGTAGAAGTTGTAGAGTGAAACAGTTCCTGAACTGCAAACATGTCAGTCTTTTCATTCCATGAAAAATCTCTCCTCTTCCTCAGAGCACTGCGGCCATGTACTACAGTAACAACCTTAATCCCTTACCGGTGTAGCAGGCCATTTCTTCCCCAGTCTCAACTTTCCCCGGGGAGAATCTGGCCTAGGCCAAACTTCCCCGGCGGAGGTTTTGTCCTAGGATATTCTTACCCCGGGGAAAGTTTGGGCTAGGCTAAAGTTTTCCCCCCCCCCCCTAGGCCAAACTTTCCCCCCTGTATAAACTAGGATATCTTGTTCTATTTTCTATGAAAAGTGGGGAGATTCTGGCATTGGTGTCATTGCAGCCATGTACTACAGTAACAACCTTAAACCCTTACCGGCATTGGTGTCATTGCGGCCATGTACTACAGTCACAACCTTAAACCCTTACTGGCATTGGTGTCATTGCAGCCATGTACTACAGTAACAACCTTAAACCCTTACCGGCATTGGTGTCATTGCAGCCATGTACTACAGTAACAACCTTAAACCCTTACTGGCATTGGTGTCATTGCAGCCATGTACTACAGTAACAACCTTAAACCCTTACTGGCATTGGTGTCATTGCAGCCATGTACTACAGTAACAACCTTAAACCCTTACCAGCATTGGTGTCATTGCGGCCATGTACTACAGTAACAACCTTAAACCCTTACCAGCATTGGTGTCATTGCGGCCATGTACTACAGTAACAACCTTAAACCCTTACCAGCATTGGTGTCATTGCAGCCATGTACTACAGTAACAACCTTAAACCCTTACTGGCATTGGTGTCATTGCAGCCATGTACTACAGTAACAACCTTAAACCCTTACCGCATTGGTGTCATTGCGGCCATGTACTACAGTAACAACCTTAAACCCTTACCGGCATTGGTGTCATTGCGGCCATGTACTACAGTAACAACCTTAAACCCTTACCGGCATTGGTGTCATTGCGGCCATGTACTACAGTAACAACCTTAAACCCTTACCGGCATTGGTGTCATTGCGGCCATGTACTACAGTAACAACCTTAAACCCTTACCAGCATTGGTGTCATTGCGGCCATGTACTACAGTAACAACCTTAAACCCTTACCGGCATTGGTGTCATTGCGGCCATGTACTACAGTAACAACCTTAAACCCTTACCAGCATTGGTGTCATTGCGGCCATCAGCATGGAGAAGGATGGCAATGGGAAGGCCAACATTTTTTGATCGGCCAACAACTACAGCATTCTTTCCAAATGTAGGAATACCTGGAATCAAAAGTGAGAAGACAATTAGAAAGATGAATGTATCGTTTCTATAAAAAAGCAGTATTGTTGGTGCAGTTTGTTCATTGCATCTGTTTCTGTCCAGTTGCATCTAACATGAGAGAGAATGGACATTGGTTCTGGACACTTAATACATTCCAATTCATGGTGAAGAGAGCCTCCATCAATGCAAGTCATATCTATACTCCTCACAAAAAATTAAGCAACAAGTATTTTCAGTGTAATATCTTTATCAATTTTTTCCGACAAGTTACTGAAAGGTAAATATTCAAAGAATACATAACCTTTAGTGACTGTCAAATTGATTTATCTGATAACGTTGACAACATCACCCGAACACAACCACCCTCAGAAACAACATGCAAAATGTGTGGCATGAATGTGCTCCACTCTTCACACCTGCACCCTGATCGGTGTTAACCTACCTGTAATCATTCCTCCAGAACAACAAGCGGGTCCTAACTTCATTTTTATGGATGATAATGCGCGTCCATGGATGATAATGCCCGAGAAAGAGTTGTTAACGATGTTGTTTTGATCAACATCACACATAAAGACTGGCCTGCAAGGTCACTTGATCTTTATTCCATTGAACATGCTTGGGACATTATTGGAAGTTGTGTTTACGGTCTCCATGTTCACCCCCAGACTCTGGATGACCTTGAGCAGGCATTACAGAGAGAATGGCAGAACATTCCACAACATCAACTTTAACCCCCTTGATGCCGAGTTTTTTCAGGCGCATATTTTCATACGGTTTGAAAAGTGAACGTTGTGCGAGAATTGCGCTTGCGTGGTCCTGGATCTACGTACGGCTATAAAATTACACAGAAATGTAGAATATTAAATTTCCTATCCGTTGGTATAAATATAAGTGCAACTACCTCGGCGGTTTGAAAAATAGACCTTGCTAAATGTTGTCCAAATTTTTGTTATGTGTTAAAAAACAGTAAATTTCTCCGCTTTTTATCTTGCACTGATAAAAGCACTGTGCTACAAATTGTCTATTTTGGCATCTTTACGGAAAGTGTGAGCGAAGAAAATACAGCCTGATATCTGAACGACATAAGTGTATATGAATTGGATTTATGTGCTTATGCATAACATTATACGCTCAACATTAAAAATGACTCGCAACAAATGTCAAAAATGGATTTTCTTCTACGACGTCAAACGACGACAGAGAGGTCATACACGTATAATGATAAGGGGGCATAACTCTGTTATGCTTAACACTAGGTCAATGTAACTCAGATCACATGGAGAGTATTTGTTGTGGATACAGACACTATATTTTTGTTATTGTTTGTTCACGGTGAACCAAACTATTCCAGTTCAAAGTTCCCCAATGTGAGCAGATACGCTTTGGTAGTTTCACAATTTATAAGAAAAGATGACAACGTACTACATGTGAAAGCACGTAATAGCGATTTGGATGGCCCTATCCGATATATAAGTTAGTTCTTAGATTCCCATATTCTCCTGTTTGTGTAGATGTATTTTGACTAATTTTGCATCGTTATTACCAGAACACTAGCCATATCTTCAAATGTATTGAAATTGCTGAAAATAATACAACATTTTAGTCGGCGTCATTGCTTGTTTTATGCATTTTTTTAATACGTCGGAAAGTGACTGACATTGGTATGCTGATTAGTATATATCTCACCTAATTTCCATGAATTGTGTGAAAGGTCTCGGCTTCTTTGTCAGAATTAACACTCTTTAGACAAAACATAAAATGACTGTTTTTTCCATTTTAAATAGTGTCCTGAATATATCAACAATTAGAGTTTGACTGTGTATCTTATCATGAGCAATACGCGCACCTGTTTGGCATCAATTTAACGTAAATGAAAAATAACATTTCACAACACCTGAATATTTTGTTTAGGATAGGAATTTTCTGTATTTATGATCATGTAGCTATTTCTCTTCATACGCATGCAATGGAAGATGCAAAAAAGATAGCTTTTTATATATGGAACTAGTATGTACTATATATTAGAATATGGATGTAAGATTTGTCCAAATGAAGACATGGCATGCTTTATACATTTTTAAACAATTTTCATATAAATATAGTTAGAGTTTGATATCCTGTCATCACAATATTTTTAAATCGAATATGAATTGATTATATTATCGAAAACAATGATAGTGAATCATAAAACGTTTCCGACAAACGCGCACCTGGCCAATCAATTTACATCATTGTTTTCTCTATAAAACGACACAAAAATGTGCAATGAACAAGACAATTCCTTATAAGGTTTTACTTATAAGGTTTAATCAAATCGCCGTTCATTAACCTGTTCATGTGAAACTGCAATAATAGTTCAAATGCACTGAATATTGTACATCATAGGAACTAAAGTAATTGAAGTTATGGCTACGTTTGATCTTCTAACACTTGAGTAAAGGTTTAGAATATGGTGTACTGCACTAACTGTGTCAATTTCTTATGTAAATATTATTCAAACAATCAAAAACTTTCAAAGAATAAAACACTGTAAACCCTATATGCACGTATGATATGATATTGGACGAGGCTAAATGTAGATACTGAGGTCAGTTTCATGAAAAAGTATCTGAATTATCCGCAAAATATACATCATAATACTGACAGTGTAATCGGAAGGATTGGGCGATTGTGTTTACTCTTGTTCAACCGACCTTCACCTCAAAGAAATTGCCTAATATGTACAACAATGTTGACGTATGACATCACTACCGATGACCTATTTCTTACAAAATGGCGGCTTTGCTTACAAGGATACACAGGATTTTGCGAGGACCCTTCCATTGATTCAGGGATCGTTTGTACATAAATATGAGATGTAAGTAATCAGAATGATTCTGAATAAATGTGTATTGTTATATGTTTCTATCGTTTTCACTGTAAGTAAGATAGGAAGCCAGAAATGCTGATAATTACAGCTGTCGTTCTGCGTGATATTGCGTCAGTCATGCACGGAAACTTTGACAATTTCTTATGAATTATCAAATCATTGCATTGTATCTATTTATAATTTCCTATTTCTTACTACGATACTCTTTCCATGCATATTCAAAAGGTATTGAGCTATGAATAGACGGATGAATGTTGGAAAATTTCAGAAAATGCTACGCAGTGTAAAATCGGAATTTGTCTTTGTTTACATATCGAACTTGCGCAGTCTTTCGAGCACAGCATTCGTTTTCACACCCAATATGTTTCGTCTCATTTTATCTAGACAGTTGGTATTGGTGACACAGACCAGTTGCAATTTGATTCTAAAATGTATGGGGAATTCAGTGATGCATTTTTCTAAGCTGAATATGAAATATACGTGATGCAATAGGCGTCTCAATACCAGCCTTCGTGAAACGTGATTTTGTAAACACTATCCAATATGGCGGAAAGCGCTCTACGGCGTTCGTGTAAGTGCATTTTCGAAAACATCCCAACCGATTCTAGATTCATCGGCAACGTTTCAGAATTATAATTAGCGATTTCATGTAAAACTGATATCAATGATCATGAATATGATATTTTTGAAATTCAGTACTCCCAGGAATTATCCGATTTTCACATTTCAAAACATACAGCAAAAAACACTGTGAATCGCTATTTCATACTGTGTCAAAAATGGCGACATTTTCGATGAAGCCTATTTTGAAAGGTCATTTTCAGCACTTGAGCTTTGTCTAAAATAATAGTGGATGGTATCAAGAAACAGGAAATTTCCCGCAGAATTCGAAACTGTGAAGTCTATTTGTATGCGTGGGATATTTTGATTTTTATTGGACTTCAAATTGAGGGTTGACGGGGAAGGACATATATGTCCCTGTGGCATCCAGGGGGTTAAAGGCTCATTTTTTCCCCATGATTTGCAATTTCAATAAATAAACATGTAATGAGACTACAAATTTGTGTTGCTTAACTTTTTGTGAGGAGTATATGTAAGTTGAGGTGATTCTGGTAGACTCTTTGCTTCAAGGAAACACAGGATAACAGCTCTATCAGAGAAATGCAGCCTAAAACTTCTATAATTTGGTATGCATGTTAACTGGCAAATTCATATTACATACATATGGTTTAGATATGTCAGAAATGTTTATCTTATCAATCATATGATCCCAATATTCTGTGTTGGATCACAGATCTGCCCCAGAAGTTACAACATTTGCCTTTTCCACTCAGTTTATCACATAAGCCTTGTGCAAAATCAAGTGAAGTTCAAAACCGTTTAACATTACTTGAAAAATTTCACTGTCATACATAAGCCAGCTGGAGCATATGGTTGAAGAAAGGCCCTTATCATACTTCATCCAGTAGCAGGAGCTTGTGGTATACAGTCCATGTACCGCTGTGAGCAGAGACACAGCAGTTCACACACATTACCTTGAGCTTTTCAAAACAGATTAGAACAATGGAATCAGGAGAGACTTACAGAATATAGAAAAGCCAGGCTCCATTTGTGATACCTGAGAAACGTTTTGAAGCAACAAAAGACAATGAAGACTATACCTGTCCTGCGAATGATCTCCAGAACCGCTGCTGGAGTTGCTGGGATGTAGGCTGTCTGATCCACACAGAAGCGGCCGATATTCACCACACCAAAACCATCCACATCCTTGCTAGGGGTCACAGCATTGCAGACCTTACGTTCATGGATGTGAGGTGGAACTGGTAGCTGGACTAGGATTCCATCCACCTCCGTTGACTTGTTCAAAGAATCAATGTGACTCAACAGTTCCCCCTCTGTCACACTGGATGGCAGCTTGAGGGTGGAACTTGTTATACCTGTCAGAATCAATAATGATTTGCTCAGTTTTTGTGAAGTTACGAAACTTGTAAATCAAAACATACAATAAATTGATCTCCTTCTGTAATATTGATGGCAGGACTGACTTGTGGATTTCAGATTAATTCAAGGATTCAAGCATTATTCCAGTAGCAAGGTTCATTAGATAGCTGCAACAAAATATCTGATTAAAGCTCAGTTCGTTGTATGATTTAGACAACATCAATGATAATGCAAAGTGTGTCTGAATAGGTACACACAAAAAGACTGTTACAATGCTAATTTAGTGTTGGTGTACAATACATTATTCAACTCGATACACAAATTTTATACATAAATATAAAACAGAATAAAGTCATCTCTTGTTGAGAATGTCATATCAAAGCAAGTCTTGGCTAAGATGTAACTGAGTTCAAAGAGAAGCAAAACAATGATTAGTGGCACATAGAGCATAAGGAATAAATGAATAAAAGCCACATCCAAAATTCTATTCAACATAAAAAAAATAATCATTTTTTCATATTTATTATTTCAATTTATGACATTATTCATATATATTTTTAAATAAATACACCATTCTTTCACCCTACAGTCTGATAAATACTGACTACAAACCTCTCATATGACATCCAAGCAAATCCCTACACCAGGCTACAATACATTTCAAGCATATGTGGCCCCGCATATGTGGGATAATTAATTTTGCAAAATTTGTTGGTACAGGCCAATATCTGTACCAAAATGTCTTAATGAAAGAAATCAATCCTGTGTTGACTGTCACTTTAAGATATCATAATCATAACACAATGAATTTGTACACCCACAAAGCACATGATAAACTCAAGACAGAAAATTAGAAACAGCGATGGATCTTGATACATGGACCTCAAGGAACTTGATACATGGACCTCAAGGAACAGCCAAAGAATTCATTTCCAGTTTTCAAACTATAAAGCCAGTCTGTGAGTTATGAATGAGTCTACAAATTCGGTTCGTAGTAGGGCTGCAACGAATACACTATGTGGCGAATATGATACGTATCATGAATATTGGGTAACGAATACGAATAATTATTCACGATTAAAATATTGTAGTTAAGTGATTGATGTACAATATGGAACGCCCATGTTGACAGTTTTGATTTGTCACAGCAATAACCAGTCATCTCATGACACCCAAATTTGGTATGTAATAGTTATAATTGACAGTACCATGTGTGGCCTTGGCAAACTAACATGACTTGGGCTACTGCAAGGCTAGTAGTACATATTCCATTACTGCATATCTCACTTTCAAACAGTACACAAGGGTTCAAGTAATACATGCTCCCTTAAAAAAACGTAAATATTTGTTAATATTCGATTCTGGTGGCCACGAATAACGAATTGAATTCATGAAGGGCTACGGTTCGATTCACAGAATATGCGAGTGAATCGTTACAGCCTTAGTTCGTAGCAACATTTTTTAGCAGATTTTATTGCAAAAACAAGCTAGTTTTAGCTGAAATTACGAGACCAAACAGAAGTTTACTTGACTTTGTCAATTCATTAGTAAACTGACAAAGAAGATCATTTTGGTGTTTCGGGGGTTATCAAACATGTCTACTGCCTAACCTTAGTTGGATTATATCAAACATGTCTACTGCCTAACCTTAGTGGGATTATATCAAACATGTCTACTGCCTAACCTTAATGGGATTATATCAAACATGTCTACTGCCTAACCTTAGTGGGAATATATCAAACATGTCTACTGCCTAACCTTAGTGGGAATATATCAAACATGTCTACTGCCTAACCTTAGTGGGAATATATCAAACATGTCTACTGCCTAACCTTAGTGGGAATATATCAAACCTTAGGGATTATATCATGTCTACTGCCTAACCTTAGTGGGAATATATCAAACATGTCTACTGCCTAACCTTAGTGGGATTATATCAAACTTGTCTACTGCCTAACCTTAGTGGGATTATATCAAACATGTCTACTGCCTAACCTTAGTGGGATTATATCCATGTCTACTAACAGTGGGATTATATCAAACATGTCTACTGCCTAACCTTAGTGGGAATATATCAAACATGTCTACTGCCTAACCTAGCCTGGTGGGAATATATCAAACATGTCTACTGCCTAACCTTAGTGGGATTATATCAAACATGTCTACTGCCTAACCTTAGTGGGATTATATCAAACATGTCTACTGCCTAACCTTAGTGGGATTATATCAAACATGTCTACTGCCTAACCTTAGTGGGAATATATCAAACATGTCTACTGCCTAACCTTAGTGGGAATATATCAAACATGTCTACTGCCTAACCTTAGTGGGAATATATCAAACATGTCTACTGCCTAACCTTAGTGGGATTATTTCAAACATGACTACTGCCTAACCTTAGTGGGATTATATCAAACATGTCTACTGCCTAACCTTAGTGGGATTATATCAAACATGTCTACTGTCTAACCTTAGTGGGATTATATCAAACATGTCTACTGCCTAACCTTAGTGGGATTATATCAAACATGTCTACTGCCTAACCTTAGTGGGATTATATCAAACATGTCTACTGCCTAACCTTAGTGGGAATATATCAAACATGTCTACTGCCTAACCTTAGTGGGATTATATCAAACATGTCTACTGCCTAACCTTAGTGGGATTATATCAAACATGTCTACTGCCTAACGTGGGATTATATCAAACATGTCTACTGCCTAACCTTAGTGGGATTATATCAAACATGTCTACTGCCTAACCTTAGTGGGATTATATCAACATGTCTACTGCCTAACCTTAGGGATTATATCAAACATGTCTACTGCCTAATATCAAACATGTCTACTGCCTAACCTTAGTGGGATTATATCAAACATGGGGGATTATATCAAACATGTCTACTGCCTAACCTTAGTGGGATTATATCATCAAACCTTGAGTGGGAATAAACACTGCCCTAACCTTTAGTGGGATTATATCAAACATGCCTACTGCCTAACCTTAGTGGGATTATATCAAACATGTCTACTGCCTAACCTTGCCTAGTGGGATTATATCAAACATGTCTACTGCCTTAACCATGTAGTGGGATTATATCAAACATGTCTACTGCCTAACCTTAGTGGGATTATATCAAACATGTCTACTGCCTAACCTTAGTGGGAATTATATCAAACATGTCTACTGCCTAACCTTAGTGGGATTATATCAAACATGTCTACTGCCTAACCTTAGTGGGATTATATCAAACATGTCTACTGCCTAACCTTAGTGGGATTATTTCAAACATGTCTACTGCCTAACCTTAGTGGGATTATATCAAACATGTCTACTGCCTAACCTTAGTGGGATTATATATCAAACATGTCTACTGCCTAACCTTAGTGGGAATATATCAAACATGTCTACTGCCTAACCTTAGTGGGATTATATCAAACATGTCTACTGCCTAACCTTAGTGGGATTATATCAAACATGTCTACTGCCTAACCTTAGTGGGATTATATCAAACATGTCTACTGCCTAACCTTAGTGGGATTATATCAAACATGTCTACTGCCTAACCTTAGTGGGATTATATCAAACATGTCTACTGCCTAACCTTTAGTGGGATTATATCAAACATGTCTACTGCCTAACCTTAGTGGGATTATATCAAACATGTCTACTGCTACTGCCTAACCTTAGTGGGATTATATCAAACATGTCTACTGCCTAACCTAACCTTAGTGGGATTATATCAAACATGTCTACTGCCTAACCTTAGTGGGATTATATCAAACATGTCTACTGCCTAACCTTAGTGGGATTATATCAAACATGTCTACTGCCTAACCTTAGTGGGATTATATCAAACATGTCTACTGCCTAACCTTAGTGGGATTATATCAAACATGTCTACTGCCTAACCTGCCTAACCTTGGTGGGATTATATCAAACATGTCTACTGCCTAACCTTAGTGGGATTATATCAAACATGTCTACTGCCTAACCTTAGTGGGATTATATCAAACATGTCTACTAACCTTAGTGGGATTATATCAAACATGTCTACTGCCTAACCTTAGTGGGATTATATCAAACATGTCTACTGCCTAACCTTAGTGGGAATATATCAAACATGTCTACTGCCTAACCTTAGTGGGATTATATCAAACTTGTCTACTGCCTAACCTTAGTGGGATTATATCAAACATGTCTACTGCCTAACCTTAGTGGGATTATTTCAAACATGTCTACTGCCTAACCTTAGTGGGAATATATCAATCATGTCTACTGCCTAACCTTAGTGGGATTATATCAAACATGTCTACTGCCTAACCTTAGTGGGATTATATCAAACATGTCTACTGCCTAACCTTAGTGGGATTATATCAAACATATCTACTGCCTAACCTTAGTGGGATGATTTCAAACATGTCTACTGCCTAACCTTAGTGGGAATATTTCAAACTTTCTTAATGAAATGAGCAAGCGAGATGGGCTTTAAACCAATTTGATGACCATGGTGACTGGTGATGCAGCTCAGGTCACACACATACTGAAACCATCATGCAGGAGCCTAATTCCAACAGACAAAGGCGGATTACCATTACTTGAATTGATTAACAGAAAGGCTAATTACGCAATCATATCACACTGCCATTAACAAGAGAAAATATCCACATATCCAAGGCCTTGACTAGGAAATCGTGGAAACACCAAAATTCTGTTGAAAGATTTTTTTTAATGTGTACCTCCTTTGAAAGATCTGACTATATTGATGATTTGTGATCTTTGAACCCCATAACATCCTGAAATACAACATGAGTAATTACTTTGAAGAAGACAGAGTGTTTGCTGACCAGTGTGCTTTGTTGCTTTGATCTTGTTGTTGACATAAACCTGGCTGGCAGGGTCAGCACCAACAAGGACCACAGACAGATGGGGAGGGCGACGCCCACTGGACACCACCTCATCAATCTCTGATTTCACTTCCTCACGGATTGCCTTCGCAACTGATTTCCCGTCTATAACACAAGCTGAGGCCAATCTGGAATCATTCATTAGAATTAGGTTTATCATTTCAATTACTGTCAACAACATTGGTAATGTGACTCAAAGAGTGAAAATCAATAATGTTGATAAATCCAACAACTTGTAAATTACATGCCCAGAACACATCTTGCATGTGCACAAACACCCAATTAAAGGGGATGTCTTGTTATTTGCCACTTATCTGAGCACCATGCTTTGACTGTTTGCTGGTACTCTTTGTACCAGAGCTGTAGCAAAAACACAGACTATTCTGTACATTGAATAAAACATGTTTATCAAACCAGACACATTGAAAATGAATAGAAAATGGCAAAAAATGTTTGAGTGAGTGAGTGAATGAGTGCATGAGCGAGTGAGTGAGTGAGTGAGTGAGTGAGTGAGTGAGTGAGTGAGTGAGTGAGTGAGTGAGTGAGTGAGTGAGTGAGTGAGTGAGTGGGTGGGTGGGTGGGTGGGTGTATGACTGTATGGGTGGGTGAGTGGGTGTATGACTGTATGGGTGGGTGAGTGGGTGAGTGGGTGAGTGGGTTGGTGGGTGCTGGGGACACCAGACATGGGCTTCACACCTTGTACCCTTGTGGGGAATTGAAAGCAGGTCTTCATCGTGATTAAGAACACCTTCACTACCTCCTTCCTCATGGATCAGTAATTAGGGCTGGCTAAAATGGTCAATAATTGGAAATATCACCTATACTATAGCAACTATTATTAGTGATTATCAATATGAAAATAAAATTATCAATAATACAGAGGTACAGTTAAGCTGCGTATTCGCGTAAATTATGCAAATGTTTATGTGAAAACTCAATTCCTATAAAGTCTATTGCTTACAAGTATGCTTGAATTTTTGTAAATGCTCAATAAATTTGATCTTACATGTGTACACACAAAAATGTCAAATCTTAGCTTGCATACTGAGGCATTCAGCAAAACTACTAGAATTTGAAGTAAGCAGACCCATGCACTACAGATGGAGGTTACTGGGGATAGATAGAATAACTGAGGTATATTGTGAGGTTCTACTTCAGCACTTGACAACTTGCAGTCTTTCTTATCTTTTCTCATATTACAAATCAAATATAAATAATATACACGCAAACATTTAACATTTAAACTTCATTCTATTTTCACAAATAATGGAAAATGGCAAAATACCCACTTGAGTTTGAGTGAGGTGGGTATAATTTATTTGGTTACTCAAAGGAAAATTAGGATACCCAATTGAGATGAACACAAGTGAGTACATAACTCAGTGACCCAAAAAGTTACCTGTAGCTCTGTAATAGAGTACATTAACTTTTGCGATGGAAAAAAAGTTTAATTTTCTCACACAATATACAAATTTTGGACTTTATTCATGGTCTGCTTCTAAATTATGTTGCTGTTTTGTTAATAATCCATGCAAAAACATGTCACCACTCACCAGTGATGTGAAACATATTCATTTCTTTAAGACATTCTCAATTGTCGATCTCTATGATCTATACAAGCTAAAACCAATAATTGATCCCAGTAGGGATTCCGGGTAAGAATTAAGGCTTCCAGTTCATGATATCAATCACTTGATTGTCTGGTTCAGTTATTTCAGGTGCCATAGAGTTGAAATATTGCAGAGTGCTTCATCAAACAATAAACAAACAACATAGTAGGGTAACAGCTCCCTCAAACAACCATACATTTACTGGTGATGTTGTAGGTTGAACTATTCAGATGGAAGCTACTGTTCAGTACATCTTTCAGATTGAGAGAGGTCAGTTTATTTTGTGTATGTTAAATATGATATTTGGTCAACTTCTGATGTGTTTGATCAGGCCTACCATGATCAGGCATACCAAAAGTTGTATGATCCCCAGGGAGTTGAGATTGACAATGCAATGTGCCGTTAAGATTGACATCCAATGACCGAGGGAAAAAATACCAGCACCTTGAGCATGTACAAGTTGCATTGATATGTGTGCTATATAAATATCCTATAATAATACCAATGGAAGCCTACAGATGGCAGCCCAACTATGGAGTATGTCCACCTTGTCAACAAGACACAACCCCATCAACTGAGACTACAGCCAACTCAATACACACACACTTGGTTTGTTGCAGTCTGCATGATTTACTGGGTTTGGTTCCATTGAAAATGTGGCAGGGTTTTAATCATTACAAAAACAGTTAATGGGGGTTGTATTTTGGAAACTCCTACATAATTATGAGGGAAATACTTAGATGTGAAATAAAAGGGCATACGCAGGTGCCCCATCAGCTTACTCTCTCTCTGAACAGAAGCCGCAAACACACAGCAAGTTCTCAGGATTTATTGATAAAAAGATGTTTTCAATCAATATCTTTCTTTCTGTCAGTACGTGAAAAATAAAACATTTTAACATCATCCTTACCACCATGGAAGGAAATATTTACACACTGCAGTCAATGCATGATTGGTGTCAAACTATTAGATTTTCTATATAAACTTCTGCACGAACAATTAAAATTAATTAATAATGATATATGTTACATCTATACAAATGGCAAATAAAGATATTTTATGAATATCTTAGTTTGTCTTTCAAGACAAGCTGGTAACATATTGTAAAGTCAAGACTGTAACATGTTGACAAGATCAAATGTTACCATCTTGTCAAGTAAAGATGTTAACATATCTTTGTGTTAAGAAGATAATAAATTGTTAAAAGATAATAAATTGTTAAAAATCACGTTTTCTAGCAATGGTCAGACTAGAAATTCAGTATTGAGTCCAGGACAAATAATCTGAAATATAAAACAAGGAATGCATGTGAACAGCTCAACACTCCTTCCATCTGATTGGCTTGTTTATTCTAAGTATCTGGCAGCTAGTCCATCTGCACCAACAGGCACGATTCATCCTATGTTAACTCAGTTTGATAATATCATTCAGTCTGAAACGAATTTGTTACCAAACAAATAACAGACATCATCTCAATGTGAAAGGAGTGCTTATTACACAGTCTGGACTCCGTCTGAAGAGTCCATCATAAGCATCCAGTAAAGTCACAAAGTGAGATCATGTACTTAAAGGGAGGTTCCAACTCTAAAATAGTGAAATGTCGGGAAGATTTATCTTAAAAAATACCATTTTTTATTTCATCCAATGCAAAATATTTTTGGCCACAATAGTGTGAGAACCGCAAAGCCAACAAGCAAACTTACACTGTTAACATGGTATGCCATGATCATAACAAAAACACAGGGCACAATTTAAAGACCAAAAACATCTCTCAAATGTCCAAGGTTTGCAACCTGGAACTTTCTCTTTAAAAACGCCAGAAACAAAATAGTAGTGCCTCAACAGACACAAATTAAGCCATTATGTCAAATAATATGTTCCCATCGTAGATTCCAAACTTGTCAACTGTTCAGTTATCTGGAATTTTCATATTTCAGCCAAGGAAGAGCCTTGAGGCATCTCATGTGCTTGCAACTTAATCAGGCAAACAAATATCCTTTGATGAAATGTCAAGGCAATGCTAGTATTTTGAGGCTAATCTGAAACACATGAGAGGCTATTTCGGGCATATCAAAGATATTTTCCTTCTCCTTCCCTGCACACTGGATTCAAATTGTTCAAATTATGTTTGTTTGAGGATGTAGGAGGTAAATCCAGCCACTGCTGATTGGCTGTTATCACTGATACATCTAAACAGTAACATATGTTATATTTGGGATTACACTTTCTTAGTTAAGTACAAATTCTAGTACTTTTTGGAGTCGAGTCCCATCCAGGATTCAAACCCATACCCTCAGAGTCAGGCACCTAATCGCCAGCACACAAAGTCAGCTGCCTAACCCACTCAGCCACCGAGATGTTACATTTGATCACTTTCTAAATTGGCATTGTGTAATCATATCTAAACAGCACTCATGGCACTATCTCTGAACCCGAACAAGAAGTAAGCACCAAAGACAGAGCATGGTAACACTTTAAAGGGGTGGTGTACACGAATCACATTTAGTCTTATGTGAACGAGAAGGATTTTTTAATTAGTTTGAAAATATACACTCATTTTTTCTACAATGAAAATATAACCCTCATTATAATTGCTGAAATGTTATGCCATCATGAGGTCTTTGTTGCTGAGCTAAACAGACCAGAGTTACCGCCCATTGATTATGACATAATTGCTGCCAATTCATTTCACCTTGTCTCCTGTCTAGTCTCAAAGCAAAAGATCTAAATACTGACATTAATCACGTGAATAAAAGTATGTAAAAATACGAAAAAGAAGCATTAAAACTGAAAATGTAAGCAGCAAGATAGAAATGATCATGTGTATTTTCATTCATAACCTCACCTCAATGAAAATATCAAATATGTATAACAATGTTGACGTAGGTATAACATAGCTATCAGGAAGTGATATTTCTCTAGATTTCACTGAGACACTTGCTGTTGGTGACAAAGACCATTTGTCATTTTATTTTGAACTGTGTGAGGAATTCAGGTTTTAGAAGAAGGAAACGATTTCAAATTATATAGGCGATGCTATAGGCGAAACAAAACCAACATATGTGTGACATGAGTTTACAAAGACTCTGCAATAAGGCCTAAAAGTTCATGTCTATGTTCATGTTTGCGTATTTTCCAAAACATTCTCAGAGATTCTTGGTTCAGTGATGATGTGTCAAAACTGGTGAGATTTACGATGTATATGTAATTTTCAGTAATTTGCCCTCCCTAAAATGAGTGGATGATATCAGAGATAAAGCGAACATCAAAACTGTAAAGAGCATTTATCTTCTTGATGCATTTGGATATGGTTTCGGCATAAAAATGAGGGTTGAACTAACTTAAAGAGCAGGGACAATTATATTGTATGATTTATGCAGAAATTAAGCAGCAAACTTAAAATGCCGGCACATTCACCGCTGGCTAGCTAGATGTAGTGCATGGTATATGTTTTAGTTTTGCTGACAGAAGATACTGTTGAATGTCAGGTTGAATGTTATATGATTGGATTACGTGGTCACAGTTTTTGTACAATGTATATATTTGTTCAAACTGCAACATTATCACAGTGTGGAACTGATCTGTACACAAAGCCAGCTGATGAATTAAAACAGTAGGCTCTGGATCGAGACACAAGAACCACACCTACACCTATTAGAAATGGGTCTAATGGGGTGTAATGATGTCATTTGTTTATCAGTTTGGCATCAAAGACGTCATTTGCAAGGGATATAAGCCATGGTGTGTAATGTGGACATAGAACTCTCGGTAAATGTGCAAAAAGGAATCAATAAAATGCAAAAAGTAAATTAGTTACTAATGATATAATCTGTACTGGTTTGGCTTTGAAACTACTTGACAAACACTTTTCATGCTGTAAAAGTGCAAGACACGACTGCTTTTCTCAGAGGGGTTTTCAGGCCTGATTCTGAAAATAGGATCCTGAATGGTTTAGTGTGTTTCTTACTACAAAAGAAATGTCTGTTATATGTGACGTGTAATCTACAGTATTGAAAAGCTTAATTATTCAAACAGTCATTTGCAATTGCACATTAAATTAGTTGTGTCTATTCACAAGTTGTATGCATATTGGACACAATATGTTTCTTTTTGTAAAGCCCTGACAACTGGGGCTGGAACGAATACACTATGTGGCGAATATGATACGTATCATGAATATTGGGTAACGATTACGAATAGTTATTTACAAATACAGTATTGTAGTTAAGTGATTGATGTACAATATGGTACGCCCATGTTGACAGTTTTGATTTGTCACAGCAATAACCAGTCATCTCATGACACTCAAATTTGGTATGTAATAGTTATAATTGACAGTTCCATGTGCGGCCTTGGCAAGCTAACATGACTTGCTCTACTGCAAGGCTAGTACATATTCAATCCTTGCATATCTCACTTTCCAAAAGTACACAAGGGTTCAAGTAAAACATGCTCCCTTAAAAATATCGTAAATATTCATCAGTATTCAGTTCTGTTGACCACGAATAACAAATTGAATTCATGAAGGGCTACGGTTCAATTCGAATATGCGAGTGAATCGTTACAGCCTTACTGACAACCAGTACATGGTCTGTTCTGGTAAAGAACATGTGCAAATATCAGTGAGATGGACTGATGTTAAGTGTTACACGTGTCTTGGGCCAGGAGTATGGTTTCATGATGTATAAGTCCATACTGTTGCAATCCTGTACACCCTGCATGTAAATAACATATAACTCTGTGTTCACAGAGATGTAATCTCCATGGCAATATGTTTGTGTCATGACATCAGGTCTGCCAACCAACAATAGATACCGTATGTAACTCAAACTGTAAAACCGAGTAGATGACATCGTCATGTTTATCCAGCCGAGGCAGGTCAATGCCTTGTATGGGCTTTAAGTAAACAGTGGCTGGCCAGTCAGATACGCGGGTTATATAACCAGTAATGATGAATGATGATACAAGTGTGAACAGCCTATTGATCCCGTTAAACATCATCAAACAAATATATTCCAAAGAGGGAATACTGTTTTTGTTGTTCCTGTTAATCTATTTAGGACATCTTTTTGCTATTGTTATTTTTGTATGCAACAACCACTTTTAGTTAGTTATATATAGAACTTGCTTTAGAATAATATGTATAACTTGCACGTGATGAATAATTGTATTACGCTGCAGTGAACTTTTAGTTGAATTAATGAAAGCCAAAAGCTACATGTTATGTCTGGCATAAATACATGTATATGTTTAGTAATGCTGATCGGATAGGATACATTATATTAGACAATGTAAAAGTAACTTGGTTCTAAATTTCACCCACTTCTGTTACATTACATAATATTGCAGAGCAATGTGTGTTCAAGTTGAGATTTCAACCAAACGTTTCCTAGGATTGAACAAACACACTGAATGAGCTAGGCGTTGTTCTGTTCTTTAACAGTCGTAAAGTCCAGACTGAAGAACACCTTAACACAAAAGACCTCTTGGATTTTACTGATGGTGAAAGTTATTCATGGTAAACTTTCAACATCTTTCCATACAATGTATTAATAAAAAAATGTTTTAGTGAGTGAATTATCAAGTTTTGTTATGTTAGTAATTTGTGTCTGGTCAAGACAAAACAATGGCTTACAGGACAGATTCCTCAGAATGTGGGACGCCCATCTCTTGTGGTCCTTGTAGTGATAATTGCTGGAATATTGATAAAAGTGGCTTAAAACCAACCAATCACATAAAGTGTGGGTTGCTGAGGACTTATTATAACCCTAAAAACCTTCAGGGTTCACAGGAAAGAGACTCAAATGTCTTAAGCTTTTAAATAACCTTTGACCTACGACTGACATTTAAATTTGACAGTCATGAAGGACAACTAAAGTAAAACATTTTAAAGTTCAGTGAATAATTGATTCTATTGTATGTTCTGGAAAATAAGTAAACGAACAACTAGTTAACATGAAATGTGAGGTGAGTGAGGTGAAATGGGGGTTTAACGTCGTACTTAAGAATATTTTGCTCATATGACGATGTGCATGCATGTGTATGTGTGGCTGCTTGTACTAGCCCAGACTTAAGCTGGTTTTATAGTGCTAGCTCACTGAGATACCATGCCAAAGTTAATCATGAAAACCCCACTCAGACACATTATACTGACTGCGAGCTGACCAGTATTGTTTAGCCGATGTCCTCCCATTACGCAGACAGCCAGTTCACAGACACCTTAAAACAACAACATTTACGGCTCAGTGAACAGATTATCTACTACCTGTTACCTACACGTTATAATGGAATAGTCCAAATAAAAACATAGGAACAAACTGAAGCTATATTATTCTTTTTGAAAGATGGACGAAAAGACAGTAATTTGAATTTTTATTGCTGCAATATAAAACAGTTTATTTTCAAAAACATTTTGGTTTAACCTTCTAGTCTAACAGGAGTCGGCATCATCATATTGAAAACATTAGCTTAGCTATTAGAAATTGCGACACTGTTGTATCATATTAATCAAATAAAAACAAATGTGAACCTAAATATTATTCATATGGAATAAATAAGTTATATCTATTGCATGAAATATTAAGATATATGACGAGTGCACTTCATTACGATTTATTTAGAATAAATATTTAAAATATGACGCATCATGTCAATGTGGCCATGGATGTGAGAATGTTTTTCATTACTTCCTTGAATGTCCATTGTATACTATTCAAAGACATAATCTGTTACAATCTTTAGAAAGTATTGTTAAAATTAGAACACTGATTGGTATTAATCGTATCTTACATGGCAATGCAGGTGTCTCATTTACTGCAATCAGAATGTTTTCAAACATGTACATATTTATATCTCTCCAACAAAACGTTTTCTCAGTTAACTTCTGTTGTACATATGCTATTATTGGGAGGGGCCTTTTTTTATCAATAAACACAATCAAACCTCTCAGTGACAAACCTGTTTTCATATTCGATAGTATTTGATAGTAAAATCAATTTTGAGAAGAGAAATCATTTATCATTTAGTCACAACAAAGTTCTATTTACCCACAATCAAACTTCTCAGTAACGAACCTGTTTCAGGCTCACCCTGCTCTACTCACTAGAAAGTGGACTGTTCCATTATGCCTGTAGGTGTTACCCTAAATAACCTTCTAGTTCAGTGTCTGTCAAATGGGTGTCTGTCAAATGGGAGATAACCGTTTAACCCATTAATGCTGAGCGCCAGGCAGGGAACAACAAGTACCACATTTTAACATTTTTTGGTATGATGCAGCCGGGAATCGAACCTGCAACCTTCCACTCTCTGGGTGGATGCTTTAACCACTACACCACGGAAGCGGTTCTCACATGAAATGTAGACTCCCAGGTACCCTGGCCAAGCTGATGGTGAGTGAACCCTGACTAAACATGCAGAGATATCATGTTATAGTAATTAGTGTCCACACAGCTTACATAAAACTACACATCTACTGCAAAATGAAATCAAACTCTATGTAAGGGAAACAGACATGATTCCAATAAACTGAAATCAGACTGAAGAATTTTAAAAGGTTTGAAACCTCGAATATCTCAACCTGTTGTCTACAACAATATGGGTGATGTTTGCAAACACATGTGACTCGTGATAAAACATAAATAAGCAATATTGTTGTAGAGCAACTTAGACGTAAAACAGCAACAGTCTGACCGAACAGCAGATGTCCAATGTTACACACATTAACCTGGAAAGTGTAATTGCCAGAATATTGATACCATATGATAGAAACCCAACACAAGTGTTGGAAAATCAGCCTGCCCTCAGCTAGCTTCAACTAGCTGCATTGTGATAGATCCTTGCTTCACAATATGCATATATAGGTCCTGTAATCTGTAGAATTATTTGTAAAATATTGTAGAATAGCGTGTCTGGCAACTTATCACAGGCCTAAGTACAATAAATTGATGAGATGACTATCAACATTACATCTTGTTACCGGTACATAAAATCTGATTTAATTACATCAAAATAATGTAATCTCACTTGTTTTATATGTCAATAAAAATGTACAAATCACTTCTTTCAAATTTAGAATTGTCGTAACATAAAGAGAAATTTGCTGTTAAATGTTTGCAGTATTATTAGTTTCTTAATACCATCAATCTGTAAACACTCTCAGTGTCACACAAATATGAAAAAAGAGGCATAAATCTCATTTGTCAGATAAACCGAATGCATCATGGGGATTCTTTGTGAGAATGTATCCTGTTATTTGCTATGTGACAGTTTGAGACAACTAGGGATCACAGACAGACACATCACCTGACTTATGACACAGCCGAGTATAAGGTCACTAGACCTCCTTATTTTGGTGTCTGTTCTGTTGCAAATTCAGGTTTATTACTTTGATTTGTTCCAAGTAGTTAATTTTAATTACGGATTGAATATTATACTGAACGGTTTGTACTTTCATACTGTCCTATATTTTCATCTGCTGTATAGTTTGTTGCAACATATTTTTCAAAGGAAGAGATTAATTCTATAAGCATAAAGTAAATTCAACATCAAAGTAAGGGAGGGAACTCTGAAATGAATGACAACAACTTCCAGCTGATAAACGCTCACCAGTTCTATTTAACACAATTTATAAAACACTGTATGTCTGCTAACCATTGTGTATCCATCTTGTGGTTGGTATGGCTCATGATTAATCTCATTTTGTTAAGATTGTCAAAGTTATACTGTGCTAACAACAACTGGACCTTGACTGCAAATCGGCACATAAAGAGAGCAGATTAAGCAGAGATTTTTATCTCCTTTAGTTGAACAGCTGACAACAGGGACGAAAGCTTATCTGAGTATGAAAGTAAAAAGTACATACGGTATCACTAATTGCAACATATAAATTACAACAGGTGCTGTGGTATTAAGTTCTAGCAAGTAATAGGAGCAGGCCAACCAAACACATTTCGTTGATACAAATGTGTGAAATCTCCACACAAATTGACGACTTTCCACATGAAAAAGACAGACATATTTGCTATCTGTATCCTAATAAACCTGATGCAGCTTTCTGAAATACCCAATAGACATGAAAAGGTGAGGTGAGGTGAACTTGGGTTTTGCGTCGAGGTGGAGAATATTTTGCTCATATGACGGCGTGCATGCGTGTATGTGTATGTGCGGCTGCTTGTACTAGCCCAGACTTAAGCTGGTTTTATAGTGCTAGCCCACTGAAATACCATGCCGCAGTGAAGCATGAATACCCCACTCAGACACACTATACTGACTCCGAGCCGATCAGTCCTTGCTGTACCCATTAATGCCGAGCGCCAGGCAGGGACCAACAAGTGCCATTTTTTAACGTCTTTTGGTATGATGCGGTCGGGGATCAAACCCGCGACCTTCCGCTCTCCGGGCGGACGCTCTAACTACTACACCACGAAGGCAGTCAGACATGAAAAGGCAACAGCAAAGTGTTTATATGTAACTTGACTGTGATATCAAGAGGATATTCAAGATAACCTCAATCTTAATAATAAAACAGTTTAATCACAAAAAGGGAAATAATCCCATAACTTTTTGCATTTATGTATATCCTTTCAAAATGCTGTTCAACGACTTTAATTTGTTCACAATGATAATGAGGATAAGGATCCTATTTTCTACAACCAAACCCAAAACACAAATGGCATTGCTCTGATAACGTCCATCTTATGGTTGGATAGATAAGGACAATTTCCTATTTATATAATTCATAGCATATATACTTACAATGAGAAAGATTGGAGGTGAATGAAAGTTTGTGTAGATTTTAATGTAAACCATAGACTATGTTGTTTTATGTAGATTTTATCTTAAACCACAGACCATGTTGTTTTGTGTAGATTTTAACGTAAACCATACACTATGTTGTCTGTGTAGATAAGAGTTTATCTTAAACCATAAAGATGATGACAAAACTTGTAATAATGTTTTATCTAATTATTAATACAAGCGAGTCTGGTAATTCCAAGCATCTGGTAATTCTGCGCAGCTTCAATAGCGTACTTCCGTATCAAAGGTAAAATCGTCTGCTACCACATTTACGCTTGAAATCGGGACATTTCTACAAGGGACTGGCTTTTAATCACTAAAGGTAAGTAAATAACAGTAATTGACAGATAAATTGACAGTTTTATGAAAATTTGTTTTCTTCAAACTTTTAAACCTTTTTCTTCATTATTCATAATTGGATTTAATATGAAACACTCTTCCTTACATTGATGAAGTGATTTTTTAAAATAATCGGATCTCCAGCTGGATGTCATGCGCATCAGTTGCTGCGCAGAATTACCGGACAGCAAGCAATGTCGACAGAATGCCGGTTAGGTCAACTGTATGGCATAATGCAACTTTAGAATCTTATAGTCGTCAATAAAACTTATATTTGTAGGTAACTATAATGCATACCAGCATGTTTAGTCACGTAAACCACAAAAAATAAGAGACATTAGTTGCCGTGTTGCGATCAATGTGCTTAGAATTACCGGATGGCATTGTATATCAGTTGTCAGAAGAAAATATTGCAATACATATCATTTGAAAGGCACATAGCCAGTAATATTGTGTAGTCCTAGTCATTTCATACTGGTCTTTATACTTTGTGCAAAAAGAGTATGTCTATTTAGTATTATGACAGAGGAAAGAAAGTTGTTTAGTATGCATTCAGTCATTTGGAACTACCAGTAATCCCCCAATAAATAAAGTGTAGGCAGAATGAAGGTTACCTTCAATTACACACTAGCAACGCTCTAAATACCTGCCTGCCAGACCAACCGGGGCGGGTTATTTTCAACACTGACAGCCAGATTCTCAAATTCACCTGTCTGATGGTTGGGTTAAAATTTAGACATGCATATGAAGATATTTTGTGGGCAGATAAGTTTTGGTCAGGGCTGGCAACTTTTACATCTAACCAGCCCTGTGGTCTGGCTGAAAGTTTTCATACCCTGACACTAGACATACACATGTCATGGCCACTGTCTAATTTAACCCCATAACTATCACATTTGACATTTTCTTGTGTCTGATGTCTTCAATTATTGTTGACATTTTATTCTATTTCAGTTTCATACACAAAATAAGTCAATGTGAATGCAATCAGTACATTTCATGACCAGCCAACAAGTGTATTTGTAGTCAGTTTATTTGAACATTTATCCTTTTAGTCATTTAAGTGTACATTCCAGTAGTAATGCAGTCACTTAATCCTTAATTATAGCTGAAAGGGTTGTGACTGGCATGGGTACTACAGACCCCAGGGGTTTGAGTACCCCAGCTACCTTCTGCTTCACAAATATGTAACCTAATCAAAATCAGAACACTGGTATCCATAACAATGAATGAGACCTAATACTTCATACTGAAAGCAGTTCAAGTTGCAATTCCCAGATGGATTAAGAATGTTTGCTATGCACTGCAGACCTGCAACACTGTGTTCGCTTGTATTTATTAAGTGCAGAGGAATGGATCTCATACAACAGTATCACAGTTCTGGTTCAGAAAACTGAAGAAAACCTCCAAGGTCAGAAAACTACAGAAAGTCTGGTCTACACAAGCATGGAAGGAACATGTTTAAAGTACTGAGAAATGGGCTCATCCCAGATACCCTTCAGTGAGTGAGTGAGTTTAGTTTTACACCGCACTCAACAATATTCCAGCTATATGGCGGCGGTCTGTAAATAATCGAGTCTGGACCAGACAATCCAGTGATCAACAGCATGAGCATCGATCTGCTCAATTGGGAATGGATGACATGTGTCAATCAAGTCAGCGAGCCTGACCACCTGATCCCGTTAGTCGCTTCTTACAACAAACATGGGTTACTGAAGACCAATTTTAACACGGACCTTCACGGGTCGATACCCTTCAGTATCTGGACTTTGTTAGATTACATTTCTGTACAATGAGAATGTCTGGGGTAGGTGTCTGTTGTATCCATGTAACTATACCTCGATTATTGATATTTCTATTTTAATTTAAACAAATACACCTGTCACCACCAAATCATCCTGGAACATCACTCATCAACATCTCCAACCCATTACCAAATCAGCACCGAATTCATCCTTGTTACGTGTGTCATGAAATGGGATGGCTATCTATTTTCAGTCATTGGTTTCCGATTATTGTTTAAAGAGAAGTAACAGTGGAGAAAGCGTTCATGGTGTAATATCAGACTGATGAAATATCCTGCATAGTTAAAATGATTGATGATGCTAAATCGAATTAATCTGAATACGAGTCTTTTGTCACAAAATTTGTGTAAAAGATGACAGGTATATTCGTGTCTTCTTCCTTCCTATGACAACAAACCTATTACAAGGGCAAAACTTCCATCAGCGCCTGAGTCCTATTTTAAAACGGTAATAAATAGGCCCAGTTAGGTAATGTGGTGTGTTACCCTGTGTACACAACCATCACGATCACTTTACTCTAGTTCACGTTCAAACATATTTACCTGATATCTAAATGTAAACCTCTTCGAAAGTGCACCAAATACGATGTCACTGGTTTATGAAGGTGTCTAGCTGGTGAAAAGTACATCTTCTCAAGCTATATGTATGTTGTCACAGCCTGGCTATCATAGTTTACAAACCGGGCATCGTTTGGTAATTTTGCCACGCTTTGGTCTTGTGCAGACGAAATATTCCGGCGTTCGCGTGGACGAGATTTAGAATATGAACTTTAAACACAAAAAGCTAATGTTTTCTGTTTGAAATGTTAACATTTCATAATATCTATCATTCTAAATCATAATTATTTTCACTGTAGTAAATGAAACACATAACCCCGCGACCTCGAGAGGTCGCAGGTCAGGTCATTCAATATGGCGACTGCAGAATCAAAACACGATCCGAAGGGGGGTGTAAACACCCTAAGTTTACAAGAGGAGCTCGCGGCATGTGCACCTAAAGCTGACGATGATGCGTGGCCCAAACCGGTAGTTGCAGTAGCTGCCGAAAAAAAGGTTGCTAAATCAGTACAAAAGCCACCTCCACGAGAAAACCAGCCGCGACCGAGAGTCAAACGAGAGCGTGAGTTTAGCAAGGGATACTTGTCATCTGAATTTATCTTTCAGTCTCATATTTAATTTTGTATTTTGATTAGGAAAAGATGCAACACTTATTTCCGCCCATGCTAGGTACTTGACCATAAACATAGGGTGATGACAATGCATGAAAAGGTGTGACAACCTATTTGGCAAGATGAAACTCATTAACTTGAGATTTAGAAACCGGTACGAAACTTCCGGAAATTAGTGTCATATGTATCGGATTTTTGGGTTGTTGTTTTTTATAGATGCTATAGGTGTTATAAATATTAATCCACATTTCCCTTGACGGGAGTAAATTTTTCCTGCCATGTGTTTTTATTAATTGTGTGAATGATTATGGCTGAGAGTTTCCTTTTGGGCATGCTTCAACAGTTTAAAAACCCTCCCACTTTTCAACCTCAGTTTCATTAAAGCTGAAAGTATTGCCATGTCTCCACTTTTGGTAGTTAAATTGTTTTGCCATAAAGCATTTGGGTATTTCTGCTATTTTCACCTCCTATTGTCTGAGAGAGAAATGAATAATTGCAAAACAATCTATTGGTTATTTTGATATTGTGCAGCTTGCTGTGTGCTGATCATTAATCTGTATGCATGACATAGCAGAGAAACATGATGACACTCTATGCAACTACTCATCCACAGTAAACTGCCATAGTGTATCTGCTTATTTATGTACAATAAGTGAGTGTACCTGTGAAGATCCATGTTAGAATTGGTCTTCAACATGTTCAGTAATACTTGCTTGTTGTAATCATGAAATGTGGCGACTGTTGAGATCAGATGGTTAGGCTTGCTGACTTTGTTGACATGTCATTGTAACTGCATAGATCTATGCTCATGTTGTTGATCACTGTATTGTCTGGTCCAGACTTGATTATTTACAGACCACCAGCATATAGCTGGAAGATTCCTGAGTGTGTTCCAAAATTTGTTGATTAGTTTAATCAGTTGAATCCTGTTTTGACATGCACTTTGCCTAGTCTTATCCTTCTCAATGATGTTTTTAAGGCAGCATTTTGAAAAGTGTTTACCTTGATAACCTGTGGGGTATGTCATTGTCATATAATATCTTCAGTTACATATATCAGTAGTTAATGTAATAAAATAATCTTGCAGGCTTTCACTCTCAAAAGTTGTTCAAGGCAATTTTGTTAACTTTGTTTTATCATAGCATATTCAGGAGCAGGAAATTTACAGTCAAACCTGTTCTTGTAGTAGGGTGTCAAATGAATTTTCTTTTATGTCATCTCATAGAGTATCCCATTATTACATTTTAAAAATAAGCAGGTATAATGTTGATCAGTTTATGCAAACTGTAGAGACAGAATATAGTTGAGGGAGGATCAAACTTAAAAGATTCATAGTCTTGTTGCTGGTATGCAGTGTCCTAATTGATCTTAAGTGTGTATGAATGTGGTATCTCATATGCATGCCTTTCTGTTGTAAGTTAGAAACTTAACTGACTTCTTTTTCATCTGCTGAGTGTTTCTTGTCTGCAACAATACACTCCAAACATCGGGGTTTTACATGATGCGGGATTCCTGCGTATTTGACGCAACAATTTTGTAAACGACTCTCAAAATATTATCATACGAGTCAAGCTTGACGCAAGTTTTATGGGTGGCCCTCACAATTCAGTTCAATAAAATCGATTTGATAAGCAAAAACAGATATTGTTCGATGATAGTTTGACTTTCACAGAGCTGTCAGATTGTTCCAGAGTACTCAGAGGAGACAGTAATCCTGGCTGTTTGAATTGAACAATGCTGTAGTTTCATTTGGTGGTGTGACATACACAGTTACATATTGAGAATGATTAACATAAAGAAATATTAAAATTTTCATGACTACCAAATATTGAAAATGACTCCCAAAAGTAAATTTTGTGAGTCACCATGACTCCCATTTTTAAAAGTCTGTGTAAAACCCTGTAACATCATTGCAAAGTACGCTCCACTGAGTAGTGCATTGTGTATTAGGGCATCATATTTGCTGCTCTTTCTATTTCACGTGCAATGTGCATTTGGAAGTAAGCAGTATCTAGGACAAAGGTTCAGAAGAACTTATCAGCATCACCGTGGTCTAAGGGAGATAATCCATGCACCATGTTAAACATGGGCTAAGACACTGTCATGTTAGTCTGATTAACACCTGATTCGTCTGGTAAACTGAGCTCGTAATATTCTCAAATCCTTTGAAAATAAGGTTCAGAGGCATGTTTAGACTCAAAAGATTTTAGCTCAGACTGTGAATTTGTGCAGCTTAATAAAGACATAAAGACAATTAGAAATATGCAGATGAATATAGATGGAGGAGTGAAACTATATATCGGTGCATTGTGGGTTTATGTGCACAATAAGTTTTTAGCAGTATCACAACAAGGTCATAAACTTGCTAAAATAAATGACTTCTACCCTTTCAATGACTCTCAAGCATTTTGTCTGTCTACCTGTTTAAACAAATCTTTTGTAATTGCTTTTCCAAGTTCACTACTAAGAGTCACTGATACAAACATGTTTCAACAACTAGCTTTTCCTTTTAAACCTGCTCAGAAATATTTAGAGTCAAGAATAGGACAGCAGTTAATCCACTATGAGGCAAATATACTCCGCCAAAAGTTAAGCAACACAAATTTGTACTCTCATTACATTTTCATTTATTGAAATTGCAAATCATGGAATGATGCAATAGAAAGGTGAAACATATGTAGACATGATTAGCAAAATGAAATGAAATGGTATTGAGCAATAATAGACTTACAAATCATCAAAAGCATGTACCCGTGAAACAGTCGTGCAAAATGTGCTACATTGATGGAGTAAAATGTTAACATTAGGGTTCAAGTCAGTTTTGGACAGTGAAGCAGTGTTCAGTAACACATATGAACACCATGAGCACAAATGCAAGCTTCTACACGTCTTTGCATTGACCAAATGAGCCTTTAAAGTTGCTGTTGTGAAATGTTCTGCCATTCTCTCTGTAACGCCTGTTCAAGGTCATCCAGAGTCTGGGGGTGAACATGGAGACAGTAAACACGACTTCCAATAATGTCCCAAGCTTGTTCAATGGGATAATGATCAAGTAAACCTGCAGGCCAGTCCATATGTGTGATGTTGCGTTAACAACTCTTTCTCGGGCATTATCGTCCATAAAAATGAAGTTAGGACCCGCTTGTTGTGTCAGAGGAATGATTACAGGTAGGTTTACACCGATCAGGGTGCATGTGTGAAGAGTGGAGGACATTCATGCCACACATTTTGCATGTTGTTTCTGAGTGTGGTTGTGTTCACGGGGTGTTGTCAGTGTTATCAGATAAATCAATTTGACAGTCACTTAAAGGTTATGTATTTTGAATATTTACCTTTCAGTAACATGTCAGCAAAAATTGCTATCGAGATTCATATTACACTGAAAATACTTGTTGCTTAATTTTTTGTGAGGAGTATATGATGCCTGATATCACGAATTATAATAATATGTATGTTTGGTAACAAATACAATAACAAGTCAGCAGTTGATGTTTTATTTAATATATTCAGGGAAACATTAAGAAAATGAATTCTTTGATAATACTGTGTGAAGTTTCTGGAGTATACATGGTCTGGTTTCATTGCTGGAGTATACATGATATCATTACCGGAGTACACGTATCATTGCCAAGGTATACATGGTGTCATTTCTGGAGTATACACGGTATCATTACTGGGGTATACATGGTATCGCTGCAAGGTATATGTGGTATCATTGCCAAGGTATACATGGTATCATTTCTTGGGTGTGCATGGTATCATTACTGGAGTATATATGGTATCATTGCTGGACTAAACGTGGTATCATTACTGGACTATACATGGTATCATTACTGGACTAAATGTGGTATCATTGCTGGACTATATGTGGTATCATTACTGGAGTATATGTGGTATCATTACTGGAAGTATATATGGTATCATTACTGGAGTATATGTGGTATCATTACTGGAGTATATGTGGTATCATTACTGGAGTATATATGGTATCATTACTGGAGTATACATGGTATCATTACTGGAGTATATGTGGTATCATTACTGGAGTATATGTGGTATCATTGCTGGAGTATATGTGGTATCATTACTGGAGTATATGTGGTATCATTACTGGAGTATATATGGTATCATTACTGGAGTATATATGGTATCATTACTGGAGTATATGTGGTATCATTACTGGACTATATGTGGTATCATTACTGGGTATCATTACTGGAGTATATGTGGTATCATTACTGGAGTATATGTGTTATCATTACTGGAAGTATACATGGTATCATTACTGGACTATACTGAGTATATATGGTATCATTACTGGAGTATATATGGTATCATTACTGGAGTATATGTGGTATCATTACTGGAGTATATGTGGTATCATTACTGGACTATATGTGGTATCATTACTGGAGTATACATGGTATCATTACTGGAGTATACATGGTATCATTACTG